GGGGGGGTCACTGTCAGCTGATTTGGTTCCGTGCCGATACACTCGAACAACGTGCGGGCAGGGGGTTGGGTTCTTCTTCGGAAACGATACCAGCTGATGGATAAAGCGGAATCACGGATGAAGCGAAACACGACAGACAGCTGCTCTAACCAAGCAAACCGGCGATAGGTCTGCTTTTAGGTTAGGCCTATGGGTCGGCACTACGCTACTTCTTTTTCATGCTAAGTAAGGCCGTGTAGTTGAAAATTGATACGCGAGCGATACTCGAACCACTGACCTCAAAAATTCAAGGCACCACCAACTGAGTGAGACGTCCACTTGTTTGTAAACAACAACTACACGAGACTAGCGAGCTAGCGAGCAACACCGACACGGCTACATGCAGCTTCCTCTAGCGCTCGCCAGTCGCGCGGCCGCAGCGTAGGGTGGCAGCAAGAGGGCTGGGAGGGATGTGTGACAAACATAATAAGTGTTATATTTTAGGGGATAACGAGTTTATTCCTCAGCATAAAATTAACTTGTGAGCCATTAATATATCCCTTGTTTTCACTTTCACTTCTGGGCAAGCAGGTGTCCTTCAGATTCGAACTTTCATAAACGACAGCTCGAAGTAGTAACACACTACCCTCGCAATCTTGTCAGCATCCACTTCGATGCCCACCTTAAAGTAGCCCTTGTCCGGGAAGTTTATGACCTTCAGCCTTTCCACATCGACCGTCACATTTTCTAGGCGATACGTGCCCTGGAGAAAAACAATCGTAAACAAATCATGAGACCATCACGCTTCCCTTCCAAAGGGGTCGCGCTCAAATATTACGATATATGTCGGGTGCCGGTATTTTTACGACATCCTGATAAATTTCGTGGTTTATTATGGGCCCCTTTCAAACAGCGTGATAAAAATAATACTTCGAAGGGAAAAGAATTCCTGGGTGGGGAACCCCCCCCCCCACACACACACACACACATTTTCCCCTTACGGTCAGATGGGCCTAAACTTGCGCCCCGCGCCTGCGCCTCCGTCCGAAACTAAACACACACTCACCGCCCGGATAGGGTTGCAGGACAGGGCCGGCACGAGGTGGAACAGTGGCGTCCAGATCATGCCCTTCATGGTGAGCAACGAACAGGTCTCGTCTCCGAAGCGCCAGTTCTGGTACGGTTCGCAGTGAGGGTCATTCCTGTTTTCGCACCTGTTGATGCGAGCCACCGCCTTGGTGAACTTGGTGTAGTTCTTTGTGAACACGAAGGTGGCCTTCGCCCACTGGGTCTTTCCGGCAGGGAAGATGCTCGAATGTGTGAAACGGTTGGGGACGTCGGGGTACTCGGGGCAGTTCCCCAGGGCCTCCATCCGAACGAGAGTCTCGAACTTGGACTTGGCGCTCTGTGGACAGTAACACACAAAAATGCAGCTCTTCCCTACGCACTCTCGGTAAGTCCCTATTCCCTATCGACGTCTCTAGGGTTGGTGGGCACAATATCCGCCATTCTGAAAACATATTGTTTTAAAGCAGCCTTTCTCTGAAGACTTATGCTTAACCGGGAGGCAAGGAGGTAAAATCAGGACAGATAGGAAATACGGTCAGCCAAGTATTTATTGTGCATTCAGTCACAGGATGATGCGGTAGCGCGGGAAGCAAGACGAGACACCCGAGACACGTCCGCACACTTGCAACGGCCTCTCTTAAAGAAAGTATGTGCACACTGCTTTTGCGACGAAGTCGCACTCCATTACAATGTATTTTTTAGACAGTCCCCTCAGACTGTCTCTACCAGAGGGCAAAGTCGCCTCTTCCTTCCTCACTTTGTTTTACACGGCCCTCTGATATTGTTCAAAGGTTTTAGAAACTATGATGATAAAGAAACCCCACCACGAAAACTTCACCTACAGAGATTACTTTATAATCAAGGACTCCCAATTACTTCACGTAATTTCTGAACTGCCCCTTTGGTGTGAGGGCCGACAATCTTAAGGCAAACCGAGGCAAACTGACCACCGAGGATGGCGAGAGCACCACCAGGACGCAGGTGCAGTACAGGGCGACTAGGACGGTGTCCTCGGCCCGGGGACGGAGACGACGGCGGATCCTGGGCATGATGGCGTCGTGTCCGACGCCGAATGAACGCGGCGCTTCAAATCCTGCCCTTGTCCTGTCCATACCCCCCCCCCCTCCTCCCCCAACACCTCGCCGCGGAGAGGCCTTGATTTTGCACGGGAGAGTTGCGGACGCAGAATATCACTTTCTGACGGCTTGATGGTCAGTTTAGATTTATCGATTGTTTTTGCCAATCGGAAAACGCATCGCGGGCCGGATGCTATAGTGATGGACGGTGACCTTGCCTCAGTAACACGGGATCGGTAACCGTGGGCGTCCCGAACTAGTCACCGCGGGTAAGAGGTCAAAATGACCTCATACATAGTGTGTTCGAAAATTTGCAGAGTAGAGGATAATTGATCTTCAAAGATTTACTAGGACGATGATTGTTTGGTTTATCCATATCAAAGCTGTAAAAGGTGAGTTTGCTTTGCGCTTTCTGTTGTTCTAACAGATTAATACCCCCCCCCCCACCACCAAGAAAAATAATTATAATCATTTCTGGTCATCATTATCAGCAGAATTTTCACTAAAATTCAAGTGTAATGCCAGCGTTCAGACACTGGTGAGTCGTAAATGTGCTAGGCTAAAGGTTAGTGCCTTTAGCAATTTGAGCAGTTTAAATGGCTTCGTAAGAGCACTAAATCCTTCGCACCTTTTAACAGTGCGACTGAATACCTTTGGTTTTTTTTTTTCAGTGTATTGATGTAAACACCCGCATGGTATGTCTTGGAAACTTAATTCCACAGAAAGACTGCAGATGAAAGAAGGTTGACAGAGGTGGAAGAATAGATTTGTGAAGTTCGGTTTCGCCGCACCAACCCGTGACTACCGCCTCCGGAAGTGGGTCACCCGAAGGAGGGGAAGAGTTGGGGG